TTTTTAGTCTTCACGTTTTATAATCTCAAAAGTCCGGTGTTTTTAATTTTTTAAAATAAGCAACAAATTTTTATTTTTAAGTTCTTTTTTTACTTAAATCAATTTATTTAATTCAAACATATATATATATATATATATATATACACACTAAATACAAGTCATAAAATATTTATAGTAAATATAAATTTTATTAATTTTTTACTCAGACAAATATTTACTTCTCACAACTAACACTTCATTTAAATATTTATTGGTTTTTTTTTTTAAATAATAATTTATTTAATTTAAGTGAGCAAAATAAAGTAGTTCATTTTCATTTTTTAAATAAAATTTATTGTGAATTTTCATCACCCAACTTTCATCAAATTTTCATTTTTTTAAAAAAAAAATTCAATTGTGGAGGACATGAAAATCAAAATTCAAGCAGGAAACAATCATGAATTACACAAAGTAATAATTTGAAAACAAAGAAAAATAAATAAATAATTAAATGCACCTTAAATTGATTACCTTGTAGGAGAAGTTACGGCGAAGTCAATCCACCGTTGTTCACTAGGTATCCACTTAACAATCCGGCCATCGGACAAGCCCGTATATGGTCCACCGCCGATCGGGTCAAACGCAAAACTCTCAGGTCCGATTGCAGAACCCGGAACGGAAACAACCACCGATTCCCGAACCTTGGCACTAGCAATATTTCCTTCATTGCGATCCAAGGTGACGAACAACAAGGCATAGAGAAGACCGGCAATTGATATTGCCAAGAACTTCGCAGAAGTCATGAGTTAGGAGAAAGAATTTGAGAAGAACAAAGAAGGAATCCATGGATGTACACATGCTCGATTCGTAATATAGAAGAAGAAGACAGTTGTATATTTGTGTCGTTACACGTTACCATTTTGGTTTGGCGAAATGATTGGTTAATGCTTCACGCTAAAATTGTTTTCCCTTTTGGCGTGTTCTTGTTTTTTTGGCAATTTTGTTTTCATGGTGTCTAATTGTTGTTTGTATTTTTTTTTTCACAACACATCAATGTGGTGATTTTCAATTTCCGTTTTTTGCAGGAAGATTAAGGTGTTTACTTATAAGAGTTTTTATTCTATTAGGAAATATTTTATACATTTTTAATTACTATTTTCTACGTACGTTTTTTTACAATTTTCATAAGTTTAAATTTACTTCAAAAATAATTTAATCAGCAATTTTTTTTAACTCTATTTTAATACTCTTATTCTATGATGGTGTAAAATCATGGCGTGGATCAAATTCAATTATGATTTACAGAATACAAATATATATATATATATATATATATACACATATATGAAGTAATCATGAATTATCTAATATATACATAATTATCATCAACTTTGATATTTAACTAAATTGATTGATACCATCACCCGACGTCTGTGTTTATAAAATATATAAATATGTATACATATATACAAGCGGCAATAACTTGTATATAATCAACATAAACAATAATAGTTACAAGAAAAGAAAGAAAAATTAACGAGGAAATGATGATTTCTTCCTTTCTTCTCTTCAATCCCCTCCTCTCAGCAGACTCTGCAACAAGAAAAACCATGTTATATAATCATCATCATTATAAATCATAGATGCCGATGAACGGCATCATCACAGAGCCAATCCACAGCTTTCCATCCTTCTCTTCCACTTCGCTGACAAACTTCAATGTCTTCCCTTCACAATCTTCTAAAACCTCAATAACTTCACCGCTTTCGTTCAGCTTCACAGCAGTTGCATGCGGTTTCCCGCCTACCATCAGGGAGTGCAGTTGCTGAAAGCTAATTGGAAGCTTCAAAAATGTAGTTCCAATCCATGGGTGAAAAAGAGCCAGCTTTGAAATAATCCCGGTCTTTGAATGCAAGGCAACCCAAAATTCACCATTGGAGTTTCTTCTCACATTGTCGGGGAATCCAGGAAGCTGATCAGCAACGATATCGGACTTGCCAGCTTTGGGACCGTGGAGCCAGTACCATATATCCGAGCAGTAGTGGTTTTCGGCTATAGACAAGAGGAGTGTCTTTGCTTAAAGCTA